GGCGCCCACCTCCGAGCCCTCGGCCTTCCCGACGACGGCGCGGCCGACGCCCGCGCCCGCGGCCGCGCCGCGCGCCGCGGCTGCGCCGCGGCCGTCGCCGCGACCGACGCCCCGCCCCGCCGCGGCCGCGGGCGGCGGCGACGACGACGGCGGCGCGGACGCCGCGTCGGCGGCCGTCGTCCCCGTCTCCGTCTTCCTCGTCGTCTTCGCGCTCGGCGCGGCGGCGCTCCACGTCCGCGCGGCGCGGCGGGGCCGCGCGCGCGAGGCGGAGCTCGCGGAGATGGACAAGGACGGCGGCCTCTGGAGCGACCGCGACGAGGAGCGCAAGGAATCCGACGACGTCATGGACCTCCGCTACACGGACGCCTAGGGGCGCCGGTCCTTAGGACGCGCCCCGTATCTATCCAAACGAGGACTCCGCCGTGCTCGGCGTCGACGTCGGCTGGCAGTGCTGTCGGTGCCAAGGCGGGTCTAGCCGTGGGGTTTGAGGACCACCAACTCCTCGAGCTTTGTCCCACACAGAAGCCACCGCTCGGGAGGGAGAGAAAGGCGCTTGAGCGTGGGTAGCGGGGTGGATCAGGTTTCCAGCGACTGAGTCATTGGGGGCAGGTGTGGTGTCTTTGCGACGACCCCCGCCCGGGGTTCCCCCTGCTTCACTCGCTACTGGGTTTTACGATAACGTTGTCGCGCGAGGTTTTCATCGACGTCGAGGTTTCCGTCGAGATTTCGGTGTCCATCGAGGTTTTGGACGAGGTTATGGTGTGCGTCGCGGCTTTGGTCGCGGTTTCTGTCGTGGTTCCGCGTGCGTCTTTGCTTCGGCGTGCACTGTCGGCCTCGCTCCGCGCGCGCGGCGCTCTCGCGCGGCCGCGCGACCTTCAAACACCCAGCACTCGCGCCACGAGCGCGCGGGGCAGCCTCTCGCGCGGGAAAGACGGTTGAAATCGATCTCAGCATCTGCGGGCTCCCGAGACAAGCGGGTTGGTGTTTTGGAATGCCCGACCCCGAATTCCCACTGCGAAGTGTGCTCAGTTTTCCTCTCCGTGGCCTAGGGCACGCCAAAACCAGCGTCGAATACCTTGCTCGCAACCAAAACCATTGCCAAAACCTTGATGAAAACCTTCATCGACATGTTTTACGACAACGTTATCGTAAAACCCAGTATCGGCTGATTACGATTCAGCCGGCTGCGTGCACGCCCGTGCTCGGCTCCTGCGCCGCGTTGGGCGTCGTGGAGTGGTTCTACGGAACCGCAGACCCCGATTTCCTATGGCGAAGTGGTCTCACTTCTACCCCGCGTGGACTGGAACATGCCGAACGCGGCACGCGAAGTGGTGCGTCCATCGTCGAACGACCATTCGGATCCAAAGTCCGATGTGCGCGCAATGGTGGCATGGCAGCCTTTGTAGCCCCATATCTCAGCGAATACGCAGAGATGGACAACGATCTCAGTGGCTGCATGGACCACATCTTCACGCACGACGCGCCGGTGAAAACGGGACGTCCAGGCGCTTGCGTGGCGACTCAGTTGGGGCGGTTTTAGGGGCTGGGATGCGGCGCGCCGGACTTCCCCGACCCCTTTATGCTCGTCTTCGAGTCATTGCAGCACCAGGGATCGTTTGTCGTCACCCGCACATCGCCTGGATACAATGGCGGGGTCGAGAGAGTCGAAATCGTCGAGTTCGTCCGGCCGGCGCTCTGCGCCCGCGGTGGCCCGACGGGACACCGTGAAGGTCCACGGCAGCTCCGACGTCAGAGAGTGGATGGAGTCATTCGATGCCGTCTCTGGGCTATGCTCTAGCATCGCCACCGGCGGTAGTGCGGTCTGGAACCGCCGGGACCTCCTCTTCGCCCTCTCGACGCGGGGCAGCCCGAGTTTCGAGGCCGCAGACCACCGTGGCCGCCGCGCCCGTGGCCGCGCGTCCGCCCTGGGGACCGCCGTGACCTTGGGCGAGAGCGCCGGCACCGACTGCATGCCCAGGGGCGCGCATGGGCTGCGGTTTTGGGGCTGGAAACGCTCCAAGCGGCTCCATCGAACGCCAAAATCGTAATCCGCCGATCGCGGGAGCGGCAGGGGTAGGGTGCCTTTGCCAACGTCCTTTTGAGCCGAGGGAGAGTCTGCGCGCCCCACCGGCCGTTGCTTCACCGCACGCGGCCTACGAGAACTGAACCGGACGAACTCGGCATGATCCAGCGTCTGACTACCCCCCGCGCGGCATTGAGCGCGCGAACGGCGGCAAAAACGCCAAAAACAACGGCGAATACGCCGTCGCCGTTCCCCGCGCGCGCGCGGCCGCCGCCATCGCAACGAAAAACCCCGCGCGCGCCTTCGGCCGCCCTGGAGCCCCGCGCCGCGCCGCCCGCGGTGCGCGCCGCCGCCGGGACCGCGAACGCATCCCCGCAGGTCGCGCGGCGGCCGACGACGACGCGATGGCCTCCGCGGAGACGAGCCTCCGGGTCGCCATCCGCGTGCGCCCGCTCAAGGAGTCGGAGGGCGCGTGCGCGTGGCGCCTCGAGGAGGACGGGAGCGTCTTCCTCGCGGACACGGGGGGCGAGGCGCCCGTGCCCGGGCGGACGGCGTTCCGCTACGACGCGGTCTACGGCGAGCACGTCGACACGCGGACGGTCTACGAGGGGGCGTGCCGCGACCTCGTGGACGGCGCGCTGCACGGCGTGAACGGGACCATCTTCGCCTACGGGCAGACGTCGAGCGGGAAGACGTACACGATGCAGGGCGGCGACAAGTACGGCGCGTCGGCGCCGGGCGTCATGCACCTCGCGGCGGAGCAGATCTTCGCGAACATCGAGGAGCGGAGCGACACGGACTTCTTGCTGCGGTGCTCCTACCTCGAGGTCTACAACGAGCAGCTCCGGGACCTGCTCGCGGCGGACGGCACGGGCGACGTGCGCATCCGCGAGGACCCGCGCACGGGCGTCTACATCGAGGGCGCGCAGGAGGAGGTCGTCGTCGACGCGTCGAGCATCGCCGAGGCCCTCGTCCGGGGCGAGCGCGCGCGCGCCGTCGGCGCGACGGCGATGAACGAGCGGTCGTCGCGGAGCCACACGGTCTTCCGCATCGTCGTCGAGTCCAAGGTCCGCGACGACGAGGCGAGCGGCGTGCTCGTGGGCGCGCTGTCCCTCGTGGACCTCGCCGGCTCCGAGTCCGTGCGGCTCACGGGCGCGTCCGGCCTGCGGGCCAAGGAGGGCGGCAAGATCAACACGTCGCTGCTCACGCTCTCGCGCGTCATCAAGCAGCTCGGCGAGGGCCAGCGGTCCGGCGGCGAGGCCTTCGTCAACTTCCGCGACTCCAAGCTCACGCGGCTCCTCCAGCCGACGCTCGGCGGCTCGGCGCGGCTCGCCATGGTCTGCTGCGTCGCGCCCGCGGAGGGCTACGTCGAGGAGACGCGGTCGACGCTCCAGTTCGGCGACCGCGCGTCGCAGGTCAAGCTCGCGCCCGTCGTCCACGAGATCCTCGACGACGCGTCGCAGCTCCGGCGCGTCAAGCGCCAGCTCGCCGAGCTCCTCGCCAAGCAGAAGGAGTACGACGAGCTCGGCGCGTCGGGCAAGACCGAGGAGCTCGCGAAGCTCCTCGACGCGAACGCGCAGCTCGGCGCGGCCGTCGAGGCCAAGGAGGCGGACCTCGCGGCCCAGGTCGAGTCCGTCGAGCGCCTCAAGAAGATGATCGTCCTCGGCGGGTCGCGGCCCGCGGCCGCGGCGCCGGCGAAGCGCCGCGCGGGCCCGCGGCGCAAGCGCGCGCGCGAGACCTGGGCGCCCGGCGCGCGCTTCGACGACGACGACGACGACGACGGCGGCGGCGCCGGCGGCGGCCTCGGGGCCATCGGCGAGGACGACGGCGACTGCGCCGCGCC